GGGGGGGGGGGGGGGGGGGGGGACGCGGGCGGTGACGCTGACGGGAAAGCCCGAGGCTTCGGGGACGTAGGAGCGGCGCGTGCGCGGTCGGCCGCGACCTTCTGGGAAGGGCCTGGCGACAGGTGGCCGCAGGCGGGACGCTGGCGCCCCTCGTTACGTCATTGCGGGGGGTGTTCCCGCGGGAAACGGGCCCCCGGAAGCAGGCCGGCGAATGCGACGCAAGTTTGGGGGCGCGGGCGGCCGCCCCCGTGTCCCCGCCGGGGAAGGACGTGGCTCCGGGGGGTTGGCTGCCTCCAGCCGGGGTGTGCGCCCCCAGGACAGCCCCCACCCCGATGTCCGGCTGGGGGCGCCCCCAGCGCGGGAGACGGGATCCTGGAGCCCCGCCCCGCCGCGTTGCCCTCTAAGGCCAGGCACCGAAGGTGCCCACTCAGCCGCACGTGCCCTCCAGGACCTCGGGCTCTGTCTCCGGAGGGCAGGGTCTGGGGAGCCGGTCTCCGCGGGGCCCGGGCCCCCACAGCCTCCTGGGGCCCAGCTCCTCCTCCCCCCCGCCTCCGGGGAGGCAGGGCTCTTCCCCGAGCGCCCCTGGGCACATCCCACACCTCGGAGGCTCAGGGAGACCAGGGGCGGCTGCCCCGCAGTGGGTCTGACCTTTCCCCTCAGTCGGATGGAGCAGCGGTCCCTCCCCTCCATCGTCATCCCTTGCCGTAGCCCAGAGGCCCAGCTGTCCCCGCCTAGTGCTCAGACACCGAGTTGTGATGACAGAGGAGGGGACCACCTGCAAAGCCAGCCAGGACCCCGTGTCAAATCTACTCTGGTCTCAGACTGGAAACAGGCAGCTCCCCTGAGAGCACACACGTCGCAGCGAGGGCTTGAGGTGCCCCTGAGACCGCACGAGCCCTTTCTCACCCCACCATCAGCACATCCCCGGTTAGGGTGAAGGGAGGCTGGTCGATGACCCCCTGAGGGAGATGGGGGGGGGGCGGTGGGCACCAGCCCGGGGCTCTCCCAGGTGAGCCGCGGTCCCGGCTCAGCTGCTGGCCACATAACAGTGGCCCTTGTCCGCCGCCTGGGTGGGGGCTGGGGTACCAGCCCCGCGTGTCTCTGGTGGAGAATGGCATCCGCCCCCCTCCCTGCCGTATTGTCCATTCACCCTCCACCCTCGCCATTAATAGCTCCTCCCCTGAAGCCAAGCTATAAATAGCCCCCCAGCCCCTCACACAGGCCCCTTCAGCCGCTGGGCACACACAGCCACCCACACACCAGCCCTCGCAGAGCCACGCGAGCCCGGGCACCGAGCCCACTCCTGCTCTGCTCTGCTCTGCGGCCAGGCGCACAGAGGGGCCCACACTGCCCCAGCCGCTGTCAGCTGAGACGGTCCCTACACCCTCCCGGGTCCTCCCACGGCCTGAGCTGGCAGGCTGAGCTGTCGTCCACTCTTGAGGCCATGCGGCCAAGGGGCCCGGGGCAGGCGTTCCAGCCCCTCCTCCTCTGCCTGGTCTGGCCTGGCCCCCCTTCCCCAAATGCAGGCCTCCTCAGTCTACCCCCCGGGGTCCCACCCAGAGGCCCTCTCAGATCCTCAAGCTTTTCATCTGCGGGGCAGGCACCGTAGCGTCCGCCCGCCTGACCATCCAGGGGCAGCAGCTCAGCCAGCATGGCGGCCCGGCCAGCCTGGAGGGAGGCCCTGGACCCTACTGCTCCCTCCGGAGGAAACCGGTTCCGGCACGGCCTGAGCCCTGGCCCTCTGCCCCAGGTGCTGCCAGGCGGGCCCTGAGAGCCATAGGGTCCCGCCAAGCCCCAAGGAGTCACAAGTTCAGCGCAGCCCCCACCCACCCTGGGGGGCCCCAAGGCTGGTCCTGCCTCCCACCTGGCCCATGGGACGGGCACCAGTGAATTCCTGTGCCCTGCCTCCTCCCGGGGCCTTGTCTCAGGTAACTGTGACCCCTGGAGAATCTCCTCCGGAGGGCCATGTGGCTGGTGGTACCCAGGGCCAGGGTGGGGGGCTTGGAGCCCGCGGTTACTGTGCCAAAAGGAGAAAAGGAAAACAACTCTGTTTACGGAAAAGGCGCGTCCGCTGCCACTGGCCGGCGGCCTTCCTGGGGGGACAGAGGCCCTTTGTTGGGAAAACAGGAAGAGAGGATTTCCACGACCCATCGGGCCACCCGCCGGCCGCCCGCCCCAGCTTCCTCTGATTCTCAGCAGCTTCTATGGCCACCAGCTGCCTGTCTGTCTATCCCCTTGTCTGTAAGTCCCTCTGATCACAAGACCCAGGCCTCCAGCTTTGGGGTGAAGCCGCAATCAGTGCTCAGTCCCACAGTACGGGGTGGGGGGGGAGGGGGGACGTCACCTGGATGCTAGTGTCTCCTGCCCCCAGGCCACACAGGGACAAGCACCTAACAGGTGCCCCCTGGGTGCCCAGCTTCAGGCAGAACTGGGAGCACGGCAGGCCCGGCTCCCCTGGAGTCCCAGACCCTTGTGGAAACCCACTGAGGACAGCCCCACACTGCCCGCCGTGGAGAAGGGTCTCTGTCAGGTCACAACAACCAGGGGTGCCCGGGAGGGTGGCCTTGGACTTAAGGCCCCAAGGAGCACAGAGCCTTGCGTTGTCAGGCACGGGGAGAGAGGGACACGGCCCGGCGGAGCGGGCACCCCGAACAGCCCGGCCCCTCTGCTTCTCGCTTCCGCCCAGGGCCGCTAGCGTCTCGGGCCCAGTGGTCACCCTGTTGCTGCTGCGCACCCGGCCCGTGGCCCGCTCGCTGCTCCCTAGCCGGACCAGCCGCAGCGCGGGCAAGTGTGCACGTGAGGGTGTCCACACGCATCGGCACACACGCCTGACGTTCTCACACACGTACACGGGCGCACACGCACCGCCTCCAAGCCCCGATCGTCAGCACAGCCGCCCCGGCCCCGGCCCCGGCCCCGGGGGCCAGGCCACGAGCATCCGCACCCCTCGCCCCCACGCCCACCGGCATCGCTGGGAGTCGGCCGCTCCCCACCCCCATGTGAAGTTCTGGCCGCAGGCCAGCGGGCAGCCGTGAGGTACCACAGGGTGCCTGGCACTGGGAGGGAGCGGGGCCAGCCC